CATTGCAGAGCCAGCTGGTTGGCTAACATGAAAGAGTTGCTGATAGCCAGAGCGTTGTTGATGGCCTGGTCACAGTCTCCAGCATTTTCACACACCAGTTTGATCGTTAGCAGTTCGGATGGTGAGTAAATACAGCGGCTCCGGCACCCAGGCTCAACACACAGCTTTGAGACTGGTCACAGTGGTATACATTTTTTTATCAACTAGTGCTTCATATTTTTTATGAACATCTAAAATTAGTACATGTAGCCTTTTTGGGCTTCGTTGCAGCCTGGGGCTTCAGCCACCGGATGTAAATTAGCATGCTACCGTATTGTATACTACTAAAATGCTTATTAGCTTGATAATGCCTTCTAACATTTCTGTGAATACATAGGCATTGTGCATTGCTACCACTGCGTATTTCTAAGACGGTTACCACGATACCTTTCCGATGGTGCATAACCGGCGGAGAATGCACTAAATCTACAGATCCCTCCAGTACTTTGAATAAGAAGACTGAATGCTGGTCCACACTGGCTGCATGGCGGCGGAGCCTTCTGGCACGCCTGCTTGACGAGATTGCTTCCCTGACACTTGATTCCGGATTTCCACGCTTACCTATGCCATTTAATACATTCTGGTCGCCGATAGCCGCAGGTGCTGCAGTACCCAGACGGAATTGCAGAACTTCACCAACAGTGACAGATTTGGTCGAAAGACTCTAAAATGCTGCGTTGCGTAGCGCGGATCGGCACCGAGCGAACGTCTCTTCGCCAGTAGCGACTTACGCAGTAACCGATCATTTATGAAATCTGCTTTCCAGTTTGTTACTTGTCGTTGTTCTAGACAGTTACTCATCTGGTTTCAGCAGCGTATCGGATGTTTGTGTTATAACATTATTATATCTCATCTATTTTTTATTAGAATTACAGTTTATAACAATTATCAACTACCAACATTTGACTGTACCATTCCACATCGCGTTTTACATTTTTTGAACAGGTTCATAATTTTAAGTCGGCCTGATTTATCGTAACAAGATTTTTGATAGCAGTTCTTTCCTTGTCTTCCAGCACAACACTTCACTGCAGCACACCGTGACAAAACGTAGTAATCGTAACCTTACGATTGGTCATAGCGCGACAGATTTTCATTCCAGCACTTACGCAAATCATCATTGTCAATAGCCAGATTTCGTACTCCAGCCGTAATTGAAGCATTTTACCAGTCCGTACCGAATTTTTCTCTCCGATAATATCCAAGTTTGAGGTAGCAGTTGCCACACGATCGTCGGTTATAATGGAGCCGCCGTTGCAGCTTGTTTCCTGGGTCTTTTACTTTTTCGATAAAAACGATTTGCCTAAAGACACGACATAGCTCAGATTGACGATTTATTGACGCGACATCGAAATGACCATATCCCTTGAGGTTTAGTCTAACGGTGCTTTTTTACTTATTCGTCAGGGTCGACACTCTGAATGGCATATGGATTACTTCAAAGTAAAGTCGTATTTTAGAATCGTATTTTAAATTTAAGAAAACACTACTTTATAAAGATGCCTAGAAAGCCGATCGTTTATTGGGAAATGCCAGCAGATAAAGCCAACGTATTTTATTTTTGTCGGAACGAGGGAGCCCCTGGTGGCGTATTTAATAAGAATATACATCTAAAAAGTCACTTAAAGTTAATAGATTTTTTAATTGATAAAGATTGTGATTGGAGAACCGTAGAGTAGTGCATGGCCCAAAGTTTTTCAAAAAAGATCTAAAATCAAACTGTCGATTATTAATTTCTGGTCCGGTTAGTTGTAGACAGCATACATAGACGATTGAGTACAGCCCAATAATAATATTTGGCCCGGTTGTATCGCGGTCGCAGTGTTGTGGTAACGTTAATTGGTCTTCGTTTATTAACGAACAGACCATTACTGCAGAAACTTCAGCTGGCTGGACACCACTGCCTTTTCCGCATTTCCGCGACATTAACGCAAAGCCTTCATTTTCCAGCAATAATATTATCGTTTTTAAAGCCGCACAGCGTCCGTGCAGTAGCCGGTCCTGACCTCTCGAATAAAAACATTAGTTTCATTGGTTTTATTCCGTTTCAGCGTAAATACCTGTCGGCCGCAGTATTCGATCTAAACCATCATTAAGACTGAATACATGTGAGTAGCATTTAGCTCTAAATGTGGTGCTCCGCCAGTGAATTTCGATTTTTTTGTGATGTTTCGAATTACCTCGACGCTTGCTCCAAAGTAAGCCTGGTCGTAAGCAGCTACCGATTAAATCAAAGCGTTCGGCTGTCCCAAACACGAGCTCAACAGGTTAACATCGTTTTCATCGCTTATAGCCAGCATTAGTAACGTTTGAAATGCTGGCCGTTAGTACCGCTCGCATGCGGATGGCGGTCGGTCGTTACTGACCAGCGTCGCCATATATCCGTACTCTGACGCCATAGAGCGCAGTATTGCCGCGCAACATTTCTGCTGCTTCGTAGTATTACCGCTGGAAAACTTTAACATCATCGAGGCATGTTTGTTTGGATGTTAAGTTAAATTCAACTGACCCAGCAAATTGATACCATATAAACAGCGTGGCTGAATGTGCGCAACATTTACCGTCATCACTAAAGCGAGCCAGCCATTTCACAGTACACCTTCCCCTCACAGCCTTTCAGTTGGAGTTCACGTTATTTAATTGAAACAGTACTGACAGAAACCTCGTCAACAGCAACTAGCCAAAGCAGCAGCACGACACAAATGTAATCAAAGATAACTGGCAAGTGAGGCATGACGGGAGACGCGAAAGTTACCGATTGCAGCCTTCCGGCAATTGCTGACCGTCGCGAGAAAAATAGATGGAGCAACATTCACCGGCCTGGAGTCTCCACCGCCACAGTCTCGAGCAACGCTGACCAACAGTCAGCAGCCAGTAAGTTCAAAAATGAATTTAGCAAACCGTGCTGGTCGCAATGAACCGCGAGTTTGGTCAGTCGAGTCATAACATAACAGAAAATAGTAGACAGCTAGAAATATTTGAGCATCAATTAATACTGCGCTTCACAACAGAAATTCCATCGTTAGCCTGTTAAGCATGAGTATTATTAGTCATATCTGAATGCCACTCCAGCCTAAAGAAAATCACTGACCAACGGCTCAAGTCATGACCTTCGAAATTCGACACTTAAAACGGACATCACAGGAGTCTGCAGTGGCACACAGGAAGTAAACATTTAGTCCAGTGCTGACAAAGATTCCAGGTAATGTTAGCCTATCCACTGAGTCAAATCTCTCAAATAGCAATGGGCTACAAAGAAATAGGTGACAACAGAGATTCATGTGCCCATGAAGAAGATCAAATTCGAGATGAATCATGAAAATTAGAAATAAGAACTTCGCTCGCATAAAGCAATAGACACAATGTCTATATGTATGCAGCAGGCTTGAGTAATGGAAAATCCGGCTGGTCTGGGGTACTCCTGATTGTGTCAACCAGGTGCTCTTGTGCAGCTCAGCACAATAGCACACAGACACATACCTCTTTTTCATTTCTATTAGCTCACAGCCGTCCTTCTCAGCTTTTTCATTACACATTTGATTGACGATCATTTCCCCAGCTTCGCATATGGCCGCTTGAATTCTGTTGAAAGGTCGCTCTATTTGCGCCTATACATTTATCTTGGCAATATTTGTCTCTGAGGTTGCTCTCCTGAGCCTGCAAACTTATCGTTCTTGGCACGCATTAATTAATGAATATTACCGGTTTTACACCTTGATGCTCAGCCTGCCTTACGCCGTGTTATAGTCGTCCCGAAATACCTTGCATGTGCCAAACGAACGTATATCGTGCTAAAAGCAAAACCGATGTAATATTTCATTAATTAGCATTACTTAAATTTTGTCGTTTTAGTTATCGCAGGCTCAGGAGGGAGTACCCCAGAGCTGAATAAGTTAAATATTGCCAAAGATAAATGTATAGAGCAAATAGAGGCGACCTTCCAGCAAATTCAAGTAGCCATAGATCGCAGAAAGCAAGAGATGGTCGATCAAGTTAATCAAATGTGTAATGAAAAGAAACGAGTTTTGGACGAGCAACATGGGCTAATAGAAAATGAAGCGGGCTATGGCAGAGGTCATGTTGGAATACTATTGTGCTGGATTTTGAGCTACTTTATAAAACCTGGTTGACACAGTCAAAGGGTACTTGGACCAAATCAACCGGATGTTTCCATTATAAATATACATACATATAGACATTGTGTCTATTATTGGCCATGCTGTTCAAGCTATCCCTGCTAATTTCCTACCTCATGGTCCATCTCAGGTTTGATCTTCTTCTCATGTGTACCATGCTATAATCTTTGTGGTCTATCTGTTGTCCTTTCTTCTTGCCAGGTGTCCTGCCCATTGCCATTTGAGGGATTTGACTCTGTGGATGATATCTATTACCTGGGTCTTTTGTCGTATCCACTCTATTCTTTTACTGTCTCCCTTGGTTATTCCCAGCATATTTCGTTCCATGTATTTGCGTTCCATTGAACATTGTGCCACCTGCAGTTTCCTTATGATGTCCGTTTTAAGTGTCCAGGTTTCGAAGGAAGGTCATGACTTAGTACACATTGGTCGAATGTTTTCTTCTTTAGATAGAGTGGCATTCTAGATTTGAATATGATTGAGTTTCTTCCATAAGTACTCCATGCTAACTTAATTCTTTTGTCGATTTCTGGTAGTAGATATCCCGAGCTGTGTATTAGTTGTCTCAAATATTTCTAAAAAAATGTCCAAAAATTCTTCTACTATTTTCTATTTATGTTATGATATTTATTAGAATGTCTTTTCTTTCCACTAGTTCGTTGTACATTACTTTAGTTTTTGCTAAATTCATTTTGAGACCCACTTTATTGCTGGCTGTATTTAGTTCCATTAATTTGTGCTTGTAGTTCTTCAGGACTATTGGCAATTAGGACTATTTCAACAGCGAATCTTAGATGGTTAAGATATTCTCCATCTATTTTTTCATCCTTTGTTGGTCCAGCCAATTGACGGAAGATTTCTTCTGATGTTGCTGTGAACAGCTTTGGGGATATCGCGTCTCCCGTCGTACTCCTTTGCCAGTTGAGAACTCTTGAGTTGTTTGATATATCATTACTCTTGCTTTGGCCTAGTTTGGTTTTGTATATATTGACGAGAGTTTCTATATAATATCTGTCAATACCTTGTTTCGTTAAATAACAGTGGGCTCAACTACAAAGAGAGTATGTGAGGGAGGCTACATCATAATTGGAAATGGCTGAATAAGCTGAAAATGATGATGATGAAGATATAAATGTTGCGCACATTTCACTATTACGCTGTTTGTATGGTATCAATCATTTTAACAAAGTCGAGTTGGACGGCTTTGTAGCATCCAAGTAAATTGGAACGCAGCCTACTTACTTCGATGATGTTAAAAAGTTTTCCAACTCAACTTTGATCACACAGTCAATACTTACAAGCAGCGTACAAGTGAGACGCGCGCAGCTAATGCTGCGCTCTGCTGTAATAATTAGAGTACAGTTATATGGCAGCATCAAAGCGTACTTGGTCCAAGTAACTTTGACCGTGCCATCCCGCCTTAATGGGTGTACATATATGCATAAGTTGTAAAGGCGAGTACACACCTAAGAAGCCTTGGCCAGCAGTTTTCCAAACGTTTACTAAAAATGCTTGTATATGTATAAACTTGATGTTAAAAACTTGATGTTAACATCGAAGCAGCATTCTATTTGAATGCATTATTTTGGTTTAATCAGTGCAACAGCTAGCGTTTTTGCATTATTTTGGTTTAATCAGTGCAACAGCTAGCACACATTGTTTACTTTAAGGTTGAGCAAGAATGTCAGGGACTTCAGTATCAGGTGGAAGTTCGAAACATCACACAAAAAATCGAAATTCTCACTGAAAAGTTAGACACCGCATTTAGTCTAGGAGAGCCTAGGGAAAATTCTTTTCTCACATGTGATTTCAGTCTTAATGATAGTTTAGATCAGATACAACAGCATTTAGGTATTTTAGGTATGATTGTTCTTTTATGAAAATGAGAATAAAATTAGTAAGGCTTAATGTTTTTATTCAGGGAAGGTCAGGACCAGTACTACTTTTCCTAGTTTATGTACGGCGCAAATTGACGATAATATTATTGCTGGAATAGAGAGCTGCGTTACGCTTACGACTGTAGATTATCACGGAAATGCGAGAAAAACTGGTGGTGATCCAATTCAAGCTGAAGTTTCTCTGGTAAGTAGTCATATTCATTAATAAATAATTAAGTAGAGATGCAATTGAAACTGCGATTACTGCAACCTGCGATTGCGATTTTAACATTTAAATATTGTACTATTTAGGTATATAATCGTCTATGTATGTATCTATAGCTTAACAGTTCAAAAAAGTTAATAATAATCAGTAGTTTAGTTTTTAAGATCTTTTTAACATCTGCAACACATTATAGATATTAAAACTTTAGATATGCTGCAACTGCTGCACACATACCTACTCTTCCTACGGTTCTCAATTATCTAATTCTTTATCCAATTCTTAAAAAATCTATTAACTACTAAAGAATTATTTTTTAAGATGGCTCACCCCTGACCTCTTCCTAAAAAATGCTTATTCTAAATATGCCAAGGGGTCACCCTCGTTCCATTTAAAAAAAATAAAATACGATTTGAGCATCTTTTAACTGGCCAGGAGAAGACACGACAATAGACGATCAATCTATTTTTCCTAGGCATCTTTATTAAAAATTAGTGTTTTTAACACAGCCATGACATTCTAGATTTAAAATACGATTCTAGAAATTTAAAATACGACTTTTTAAGCGAAAATGTCAAAAGTTGCCATATGATATGCCATTCTATTCAGAGTGTCATTTTCTATTGAATAAAGTAAAAAAATACCGAGGGTGCCATTTAAACATCAAAAGTTGTAGTCATTTTCGGTGAAACAGGAAGTGGCTAAAAACGATCGAATACGTCAATCAATCCTAATTTATGTCATGTATTAACAAACCAAATCTCGTTTTTTTATCAGAAAAAAATAAAAAAAAGTTACAGGGTAAACTACTCTTGAGAAACATCCGGTATATTATTGATCGTGGCCCTAGAAACTAATACCTTCTCTATAAACTATAGATAAATAATATCAGAGAGAGAAAATTCAATCGCAGTTTAGTATAAAATGCTTCAAATCACAATTGCAGCAAAATTGCAAATCGCAACTATATTGGTAATATTGGTTGCGTAAATTGAAACTCGCAAATAGAAGAAATCACAATCGCAGTTTCCTATGTGAGCCAATCGCAGGTTGCGATTGCGATTTAAAATCGCTGCGATTGCATCGCAAGTGTGCGATTTTTTGCTCACCTCTATTAATTAAGTATTGTACTGGAGGGATCTGTAGATTTAGTGCATTCTCCGCCGGTGCTGCCACCATCGGAGAATATCGTAAACAGCCGCCTTAAGGAAATACGCGGGTTTAAGTAGCAAGTGCACGAAAATTTTGTTATATAGTTATTCTAAGAAATGTTAGAAGTTTTAAAAAGGTAAATATTTTGATAACTGCAGAAGGTCTTGAATCTTGAAGAACTTGTATTATAATGTATTATTCAAGCTAATAAAACATTTTAGATGAGTACAATTACGGTAGCGAGTATAGTTTTACACATCGGTTTTGATAGTGGGGACATAACTGGGGCTATTTGAGCTGCAACGAAATTTTTTACAGATACATAATTATAATTTTAGATGTTCATAAAAAATTTAAGCACTAGTTGATTAAAAAAGTATAGCACTAGTATTGATCACATTATATTTTATCCGCTCAAAGTATATGTGTATTTAATTTTCTGATTATGTAACGGGCATATTGTTTACTCACCTGTTTCGTCGAACTGCTTGAATCTATTTTTGCTTTTGATCAAACTGGTGTGAAAATGCTGGGAAGTTGTATTGAATGTTATTGCATCCAACAACCATGCAATATCACCCTTCTTTTCGTGTTAACATTTTTTCGGCAATTTTATTAACATTACAGTTTATCATTTGAAATTGTCACAACACATTGCGACGGACACCCAGTTCCAGTTTTTTCACTTAATTTTCACCACCGAAAAAGCGTTACATCACACAAACTTCATAGGTATCAGAGAAGTTTATAGTTTCAATAACTACACTAGTCAGAACCAAAATACTTAAAGGCCTGCACTAAAGGCCTACTAAAAATACTTACTATAGCCTAGTACTCTATGACAGCCATGATTTCAATATTATTTCAATGCGATCAACATGAACGATAACCGGGACCGCCTGAAATAAAGTATCCGGAGAGTTCTGATTTCTTCCGTACCGAGCGCTGGTGCCGAAATTTTAAAAAATTGGTTGAAATGCACTGAGTCTATAGTTCTTCATTAATAAAGAATCCATTTAAAATGTCATCTTTGTGGATTTTAGATCTAGCAAGTTTTTACATAAAAATCAAATATTTGATAAAGTAAGTACACTTTTGTGTTGGTATTTTTATACTGAAGTTCGTTCACTTTACATTTCTAACTTTTTTTGCTAGTGATTCAAAACTTATATTTTAAAGAAATAAAAAATGAAGATTTGAAAAAAATAAACTAATTAGAAATGTTACATAGACATAAACGAATAAGAAAGCAATTTGCCCCCCTAAAAATAATATACATCTGGTTACTTCGTACAGCCCGCATTTTTCTGTTATATTCTTGTGAGTTTCCACATTTCTTTTTAACCGGAAACAATATAAGAAATGCTTTTTGAGAGACCAATTCTAATAAAGGCTTCTGATTCTATTTAGCATTTATTTAATACTACTTAATATCAGATTAATTAAGTATTTATTCCACAAAGTCATAGATATTATCTTACTTTACA